GAGAGAGACAGTGACAATATGGGAAAAAAGAAAGAGGGAGAAAGAGAAATAACAGGAAACACTGCAAGGTAAGAACAGAGGGTGGTTTGGGAAAAATGTTGAAATGGGGGTGTGATCACTGTTTCAGAACACTCAGGCTATTACACAGACTGTCAGAGCTACCTCCTTTTGTGCTTGCCCTCTTTTCTCTCCCCCGTTGTCCCTCCACTGGACATCCTCAGCAACGATCAGTGCAGCTATGAGACTGTTTTCGATCCTCTCACTTTCCGGCTATTTGTTGACCTCTTTTTTTTACCCTGTGTTGCTCTGTAGTGCACATGCTCAAATGCCGAATGCACAGTATATGGAACATGAAAGGAGGGAAGTGTCAATACCGTCCTGCAAACATGGGAGCTTTTACTTGAAAGATCAAACTGACAAGATTGTGGTCAGGACTCCACTCATGTGCTGTTAAAGAAGATTTAGATCCCAGATAATGATATGGGATTTCAGACCTGGTGCCTGGCTACCTTTGAAGTTCATGCACCCAAATGAGCTACTTGAACTGCGCCTTAACATGGAGGCTGTCTTGAACTTCAAATAATGACCTTCATTTAACAGTAGGAACATAAACCATGCCTGTTCAACAGTTATAGCCTATAAATCAAAAAGTATTTATATTTTTGCATATATATTAGCATTCAGCATTGTCAAAATATTAAGACGTATGTTTTCTATCTACATTAAATCATAACACTGCAGTGATATCTGGCCCAGCTTTTCATAATCACATCACACTTCTAAATATAAAAACACCAGTAAAATTGCACTGGTAATAATGACACTACATTTATGAAGCAGAGTCCTTCAGGACAACAGTGGAAAACTGCTGCACTCTTCAGTTTTTATTTCCACACAGTGTTAATAAAATTACCTGTCAGTCTCAATTCTTTTAGAGATATCTGTGGAATTTTATTCTCTTCAGTCGCACTCTAGTGCAATAATGTATTGCCTTATTTGAACTTTAAAACGTGGTTAAAGACATCTAATGTGCACAATAATGTGCACAAAAAGGTATATGCACACATAACATGGATTTGTTCAAGCTCATTGTTTTTTCTTTTTTAGCCATACCAACAAGAACAAAAGGAAGACATTCAAGACAAGAAGGCAGCTAGCCATATATAGAATGGTCTGAAACAATCCTATTAATATCTGTTAAAGCTCTGATTGGTGCATATGTGACATCACCCTTGTCCAACAGAGCCCCGCCCACTTCAAACCAGCAAGGACAAAAACTAAAATACAGAAATCTGTCATGTAAAATTTAAAAAAGCTGTTGTAACTTGTAAACTTCTAAAGTGTTGTGATCGTGCAGGACCCCATGACTCACAACGCTAAGCTGACTGAGGAAATAGGTTTTCTGGGCCTTTAAGCCTAACATTCATTAGTTTGGGCTCTCCAGGTCTATTTTAAAACTGAAGAAAGTTAAAGTGACTAATTTGAGTACCACAAAAATGTCAGCGAGTGCCTTCTCTGACATTATTGTCGTCCACTTGAACTAATCAAATCAGTGGGCTAACAACAGCCATCCACTCAGAGTAATTGTAGTGGCTGTTTAAGAAAGGTACTTTTGTTGCTGCTATGCGCCCTGAAAGACTTTAACTCATGAGAGATGACAGTAGACTGCCCATCTTGTCCACTTTACTATGTGGTATTTGTTTACTGGCTACTTTACTATAACTTGTATAACATTTTTCATAGCGTACAGGTTTGTCAGGGTTCCAGTAGGCCTAAATATTTAAATAAGGAGGTGTTAAATGATGTGGTGTCCAGTTCTCCAAGATGGGGCTTTGGGTACTGTCAGGCTGATGATGATTTGCAGGGGGGAATCATCCTCTCTAAGGGAAGATTAACCTCGTTCATAAGTGGAAGTAGTCAGTGAGAGTAAACGCATACCGTGCCAGGGAGGGTGGACGCTGCTTTCTCCCTTTTTGCGCGCATTGCGAAGCGCTTCATCCCCGACTGCTCTCCTCCTCTCCCCGTCCGCGCCCGTCTCTCTAACCTCCCCGCACCAGGACGCATCTCTCTCTTTTTCTCTCTCTCTCTCTCCAGCACTCTCACTGAGGGTGTTTTAACTTTCCGAAGACGACAACATTTCTGTCGACCCTCAAGGTAAACGCTCTATTGGGAAGGGAGACCTTCGTATTTATAGAGAGAGATCACGAGAGTGTGACGGCAGCGTTTCGCCGAGCGGAGACCTGTTCGCCCGAAATGATTGGCAATTCAAATGAGAAAGTCTGAGAAATGTCTTTTTCTCTGGGCGACACCTTCTGCGTTCCAGCCATTATGTACAGGCGGAAACAAGCGAGTGTTTGCGTCTTCCAAACACTATTTGGATTGTCCAGAACTCAAAGGTAGGGTATTAATTTATCCCTTAAAGACAAAACAGCATCTCTCTTTGTTTTTGTTTTGTTTTGTTCACAGTTATGCTCGGTTTTAAAGCTGTAAAAGAATATGTGATCATAACTGTGTATTGCTGTGTGGTTGATTGTCTTTACGCACATGTTCATATATCAGTGTTAAATGGAAATAAGTGGTGAAGTGTCGCAATGTGTCTGTTGTGACGGAGGACGTTGTTGATAGAGAACTCCGCACACAGTTTCTACCTGCGACTGCTGGAGCAGAAATCCCATCCCCTTGTCTCCGTGTGTGTTATATGACTGATGGATGTTTTTGGCACGAAGTCATCAAGCCACTCTGTCTGCGTCGGCTCTGCGCTTTAATAGTGCCTTTTTTTCTGTATGGAGATTGGTCAGAGAGTTGCGATCAACAAGATTTTTCACCCTGTAAATAAAGAAAGCCAAGAACAAAACAACAAAGACTGTGAAGAGGAGTGTTTCAGTGTCAAGCAGCAAGAAGCTTATGCTCTCTAACACGTTCACACACACACACACACACACACACACACAAACACAAACACAGAGCTATCAATCCCCACCTTTTTCCTCTATTCTACCCCTGGTGCCAGCAACAATTGGGACGGCAGAAGTGATGTCAGGTCTGATCCCTGCTTGAAATGCAGTCCTAATAGATTGAAAAACCTTTGCCATAAAGTGGCTGGTTTTCAACTCCCAGCTTCAGCTGTATTGTTGGGAAATCTGATGTTTCTCATATCTATTGCAGCACTCCATATTTATTTCACCATGTTGTCTGATTTTAAGTGTTTTTGTTTGTTACTGTGGAACTCTATCTATCTATGCTAGAGAGGAAACACGATCTAAATGCTGGTCTCCTCCAGCTCCTGGAGACCACGATCGTTTGGCAATGAAGACAACTTAGCCAGAGCCTGCCTCAACAAACCATTCTAGCAACACTGTACAGTACATGGCTGCTATTGACAGCAACATCCCACTGAATTATTCAATCACATGTGGGAGATTTTCTATGGAGAATTTAATCAGGGAACACTTTAAATTATCTGACAGAGGTGTGGCAGACACTGAGATAAGAGTGTACAGAAGAGGAGATCCAGAGGAGTACTGACTCCTCTGTGGAAGGTTCCTTGCTAAGGATTTAATGTTTTATCAGCCCCACAGATAGACATGTAGACAGAGGGGACAGACTATCAGCAGTGCCTGCTGACACGAGAGTAGGATTCAGATTAATTTCAAGTGGATTATGACATTCTACACAGTCTCCTTTGATGATAATAGTTCATAAAAGGATCAGTCAACATGGTTTTAAGCCCATTACTCACTTCATCCTTTTCTGTTGCTTAATCTGTCAGTGGACTTTCATGTACTGAGGCCAGGGGATAAGGTTCACTGACAAATGTGGTTTGGTGACTAGTTTGCATTTTCTGCAGTGAGCTTTCCTGCATTATTCTGATCTGTGATCATCAATAACTACCTGGTGTTGCCGTATTATGCATATTATACGCCAGACACTGCTTTCAAAATTAAATTACAGAAAGATGAAGTTGTTGTTGTCGAGCGCAGTGAGCAGTGATCTCCACCTGCGGTATCCAGGAAAGGCTGCGAGAGACAGAGGCTGGATGAAATGGGTGGGTAAACATGGCCGACAGATAAGACAGATTGGTATTCAGCTGCATCTCGCCACACTGGCCTCGAGGCCTGGCTGATAATACCCTGCTCTCGGCTTCAGGGTCAGAGGTCTGAGGTTGATTGGCAACGGGCTGACACAGGGAAATAGAGTGTGCTGACTGGAGTCTAATGGGGTTGAAGCGCACAGACTTATCACTGTGGCTGGCATGTTAGCAATGCCACGGTCTCACTCTTACCCCTGCGCACCTGGATGCTTACAGGTTGTTCACTAATCTATTAGCCCCTTGTCAGACACCTCTGGGCTCTCCTACACGGCAGCACTGCAGCACACCGGCCTGTGCTTGTGCCATCTCTGTCACGCTGAACTGTTTTTCTTGCAACAGCGTTTGCTCTGCCTCATTCGCTTTCAGCTGTACCTCCCAGCTCTTCATACCTCCCAGCCACTGCTGTCTACCAACATGCCCAAATGCACTCAACCAGAGAATTGCATATGAGTATGATCTCTCTCTTTCTTCCCCTCTTCTCTCTCTCTGTCTCTTCATTGCTCTTTCTTTCTCTCCACAACACATCCACCCACTCACACTCACACACACACACACACGTATGTTTACTCACAGCAGTACATACACAAAACAAAAAACGCCCACAAACACACGAGCACACGCATAGACACAGGGCCGTGGTTATTTCTACATTCATCTTCACTGATTCTGAGGTGTCCTACATTGCTCAGCTTGCACTGAAATGGCTTATTCGCACTTAAATTCACATTAACTGAAAAAAGACCCTCTCTGCACCAACAACACAGCAGCAACGTATTTGGAAGCATGACAACACCAACAAAGAAAAAACTTCTCTCTGAGCATCCCTTAGTAATGACATGAAAAGTAATCCGCTGTCAGCTTGTAGCATTTGTGCAGAGTGGGAGTGTTAACAGTGGCAGAAACTGGGAAGCACTTGGAAGAATACTTATTATGGCTACATGCATGACAGCCACTGTATCTGCTTCCTTAAAACCATGTCAGCCAGAGTAAGTTCATTGGCACTGATCTGTTTGTACTGGTCTGTTTGGAAAACCACACTGAAGGGAAAACCAAATGGACATATTTGTCTGAGGCTCCACCATCTGCCGCTGTGAAAAAACTCTTGGAAGAGCAACATTATGTTTTGTGTTTTTGCGGCAATGTCTCTCTGAGCTGCAAGATTCCGCCATCGAGTCTAAAACTGTAGTGCAGAAGTAGAAGTAGCTTGTCCTCTTGCAAACTGTCTCATGTGATTATGTTAATCACAGCCGTGCTTCAGTATTAATGCAGTAGTGATTTATTGATGTTAAAATGCTATTTGGAGACCCTTTAACTTAAGTTGGCTATCGTTGGATTTGAAAAAAATGCTTTCTGACATTTTAAAAACTTGGGGACACAAGGGTGTGTTATGTAAAAGTTGTCTTTTAACGCCCAGTTGGAACCAGTAAATAGATGCAGTTCATGTCCACAAAGTCCGTTTTTATTATTCATCAACCTCACCCAGGAGGTCGCAACTAATTTTCTGCAACAAACCATCACCCCTGGAGTTGGCAGGGGGGTGCAGTATTTTAAGGACACTTTAGCGAGGCAGATGCCAGAACCATCCTGCCCCGGAAAAGCAGCAGTGTATTATGCAGCAATAGCATCCTAAGTAGACAGCAACCTCAGCACCTGCTCATCTTTAGTTTTTCATGAGAATTTGTAAGTACTCACACTTTCAGTCAGCTGAACCGAGAACTGCATGAGTGTGCGATCCCCTGGAGCTATACGTGGACCAAAGGGCGCACTGGTGTGGAACAGCTATGTCAGCACATTCAGACGCAGGAGGTCCAACGGGGAGGAACCATGAAAACGTTGTTGGCTGTCCGGTGCTTACTGAGCTTCAGGAAGCCTGGGAGTGTGGGGCTTGTATTTTATTTATGGGGCAGAAAACATGAAAAGTATAGCAAACAAAAAAACCTACATTGGGGGAAATGAGTAGGAGAAAGAGAGATTTAGCAGCATAAAAAGAGTAAGGGAATATGAGATTCAAGTGGTTATTACACTGTAAATAAAGGACAGATAGAGCAGAGGATGAAGATGACAACACACTGCAGGTTGTTGGTTAGTCTGTAGTGGTACTCTGTCCTGTCCAGTGGGAGACTATACAGTTCTAACGTTCTGTAATATGGAGCTTAAGAAGTTGTAATGTTGGAAATGAGGAGAGACCTTTATATTTTCATTAGTTCTCCTGAACTTCTTGTGAAAGGCCATGTATACTAGGTGTCTGTTCTTTTAATATGAATGTAAGAAATTATATAAAGACACAAATTGTGTTTGGTGAATATGAATCAGCAGAGGTTTCTGACCATGAATAACTCTATGAGATGATTAATGTACACGTTATTAACCTGTGTGCCAACAAGCTATCCGTATCCTATTGCCTCAGTGCTATTTTGTATTATGTATAATATTGTTGCCTTCAATTGGAAATACCTTAAAGCATTTTTGAAATAGTGCAGTAAACCAGCCATACACGATTGAGGTCAGGACCCCAAGAAATAATCTGCTTTTGGCATTTGTATTTTAAACGCAGATTAATCAGACAAAGGTTAAGGGTGACAACTGAGAAGCAGAGAAGTCTGGGTTGTTTTTTGCAGCATGCAAAGCTGGAAGGCAAAGAAGTTTTTAATTTGGTTTTGATACTTTTGATAGTTAAATGTAGAGTAGATAAACATAAGTTTACAGCTGATGTAGGCCTTTCACCAGGTTGTTCTCTGTGGCAGCAAATGTTAGCATTCCTCTGCATGGTTGCCATCAGTATTATAAAGACTGATCTAAGTCTTGCCTAAGTAAGTCTTACTTAGGCAAGTTCTAAAGGCTAAAATCATCTATTTATATGGTTCTGGTTTACATTTATGGTGAAATTAACATTTAAGACCCCCCCCCCCCCCCCCCGCCGCCCCACACACACACACACACAAATTCAGATAAAAATTATGATGCCCCCAATATTAAAAAACTTTATTTCTCAAATCAGTAAGCTCTATTTAGATCAAATTCAGACACTAAAATTCAGGATATAAAGTTTAGGTCTAAAGTATTAATTTTCTTTTCTGTAAAGGATTTTCAGTTTTCTGGCCATCCATAGCTATGTGGCAGACTTGGCCATCTTAAATAACTCATCATCATTAATATTTACAATGCAGTTACAGGTTAGCAGGAAAGAATATTTTTTAAGCTCTGCCAAGTGTGTTTTTTAGCTCATTTTTAACCGGTTTCTTAACTTTTATCATATATTCACATAGTAAAGACAATTTACAACCAATGTCAAACTAATTGCATAAATGCCAGCCATAAATATACAGAGGTGGAAGATTACAGCCCTATGAGCTTTATAGGTGCACAACGGCTCAACTAATCCATATCAGGAAGTAAGGCTGATGACACCTTGATGACTTCCAAGAAGAACAAAACAATGGAGCAGTAAAAATAAAATGATATTATAGTAGAAGGCAATGCGTTGATGTATTGCTGTCACTACTTTGGTGTGTGTGTGTGGTTCTGTTATTTTATGTGTCAAGAGTGAGGAAGCAAATTAAACTTAATTGAATCATCTGCAGGGTGCAGCTCTTGACAGCGGGATGCTATAAAAGTTGTTGCTGCTGAGGGAACGACAGCGAAACTTTGATCTGATGTGAGCAAATGTTTGGTAAACTGTTACCTGCTGGTAGATGTCAAATAAAATTTTCCTTCCAGATTTTATATTGAATCTTAAACATCTCCCTTTCTGTGTTGCTGTGTGTTTCCTCTCTAGATCTCAGAGTGCCAAATGCTGAATGAAATTAACACCCTTACTGACATCAACGCTTGCTATTGAGGAGCACATCCTGCCTTATTTCACCCGTCACTTTCCCATCTCCTTGCAAGAGCTAACGTCACTGAGAAGCTCCACCCACTCACCTTTTGATCCCTGTCGCTATGGAGAATCTCAGTGAGCTCCAGAACCCATTGTTGGACAAAAACAGTAAGCACATGGTCAACGGTTATGGGGGTGATTTCCCTAATAACCAGTACCAGGAAAACATTATAAATTACTTTGCTGGAGGTGGAGGTGGAGGTGAGGGAGGAGGAGGAAAGGTGAACAATGGGAACGTAGTGAGCGGAGGTAGTTACAATACCAATGGGAAGATGAAATCTCAGCAGCTTTTGGATGCCACCTCACTGCATCTGGCAGTAGAGGCCTTCTACAGGCCCAACTTCATCCTGTACAAGGAGGACAGCAGCAGCATCAAGGCTAAGGAATACAAAAGCGAGTGCTGTGAGACCACCTTCACAGAGAAGAAGGCGAAGGAGGCGACCCCTGCTACAGCAGGGGCGGACACGCCTGGTACAGAGGATCCCCAGGCGAAGCTGCTGGAAGATGGTGAACAAATCAAGATCCAAACTGTTTCCTATGAGGTTGAGGAAGAGGAGTATGTGGAGTATGAGGTAAGAGCATGAGTAGAATAGGAACAAGAATAAGGAAGAAACCACGAATGCATGCATGCAGTTTAGGCTGTTAATATCAGCTCTCAATAGCCAGTTTTTGCAATGTTAAGCTTGTTAAATTTTATCATTTTAATGTTAAAAAATCAAAAGTAGCACCTTATCTAGAGTTCTATGCTTGTGTAATCATCCAAAAGAATGGGTAGACTATCCCAAGAGACAGATAGAGATTAATGTATTTTAGTTCATGAGGTGTTTCTTTTGGGGTCAGGGAGAAACTTGCAATCTTAATGTTTTCAATGAAGGGCCCATATCAGGCCGACGGGCTTGGATGCTGATGGTATGTTTGTGTTGCATGACAGAAAGAGCGAGCATGCTTATATCCCACTTGTATTATCTCATGCTGGGCTCGATGCCTGGATCAGACTGACATTTTACTAACCACAAATCCCATTTGATCTACTGACCTTGGCCTCAATTCCCAACTCTAAAATTCATCGTTAGATATTACCCATGCCTGCCTCACCCAGGGATATTAGGTGCTACACTACTACAGCATTAGCCACAGTATTTTCACTCCCAACTGGCACGGCCAATAGCACAAAGCACTCCAAAGGATTTAGGGGATTGGACAGGCGGAATAGGGTGTCGAGTTCGACCAGTGTCCTGGAAGACCTAATGGACTGACTGCCACACACCCCTGAGTCCACTAGAATTAACCTGGATTGCTGTGATAAACATGTAGCTGCTGAAATGCAACGTGACATGGGTACATATAGCTTGATTCTGCAGAGAGACAGTGCGTTTCACATTATGAATAAAGAAATAAGAAAAAACACACTTCGCTAACTTCAATCATAGAAAGATAAGAAAAACATTGATGTGTAGATGCGTAGGTAAGAGAAATAACTTGCACATTTTATTTTCTTCCGTTGTACTTTTTCTCTTGTAAACTTACCATGAACAGATGAATTAGACACAATGTTATGCACCAACTAGAGGCTCCTCTTAGCTGTTCAAAGGTTAAGTGAACACATTACCATATTGCTCATATTTTTCCACACGTTTCCTGTTCACAAATGAACAAGCACATGAAAAAAGCATCATCAGGCCCCACAGCCAGTTTTGAGATGTAAAGAGGAGAATGCCCAGTGGGACTTATTATGTAGCCTCCCAGCAGTAGACCATTGACACCACAAAGTGCAGAGTGTCTCCACTATCGTGCCCACAGTCTGGCACAATGCAAAGGCCTCAGATGAGAAAACAATTCCAGTGACATGCACTAGACTAGTTGGGGTTCCAACTGTTTAACACTTAATAAGGCGCCACTGTACAAGATGTATTTATTATACAACTTGTTTCTAAATTGCATGTTGACAAACACAGAATTATCTCAAAATCACTTTCATTACTTGCATTTTTTAAGTTTCTCACCTAAGGGATTGTACCTAACAAGTTGAGGGCAAAATATACTTTTGTGGGTGTGTTCAGAAATAATATTAAAAAGATAAAAAGATACCCTGTAGAGTTTTCTTGTAAACAAGCAAAAATGATGTTTACAAATGCATTGTGTTAATCCTTGAACTCTAACAATCCAGTTGGATGCATTTCCCTTCATTAAACAATTAGAAAGTGGATTTTCGGAATATTTGTATTTGTTCAATGTTCACACAAATGTTGGCTTGCAGTCTTGCTCTTTACTGCCCATACGTAGGCGCATTACTACACTTCTTTGCACATTGCGTTGTCCACATTCTCATGCGTGCATAATACAAAAAGAAATGGGATTGCACAAAAAAATTGCTCCATAGTGCTACTAGTTGTCAAAACCTCCCCATTGCACCTTTAACGGCACACTTCAAAATTACGGTTTGTTTGCTTCATGCGGAATTTGAGTCTTTGATATACAGAAATTAAGTGACTGTTAATGTGAGATTTACATGCATGTTGAGGCTGTCTTTTAGTTTGATTATGTCTCTAGCTC